TTTAATTGAAAAGTACCTCTACGTGCAGCTATGTCTTGTTGAATAACAGCTTTAGAAGCATCAATGGCACCAAAATCAGTTGAAGCTGCAGCTTTATTAACTGCATGTCTCATATTAGCCTCAGAAACAGGAGATACACTTGAACTCCAAACAAACATATGAAGTTCTTGGTTGGGATTTGTAGTACTGTTAACGTTGCTACTTTCTTTTTTCTTAGGGCCAGAAAACATAGGATTTGGAGGAGGACAAGAAGAAGTTAAACCTCCGTTAAACAACTCTCCACTCATACTTCCTCCTGCTCTCTTCTTCCCAAGCTTCAACATCTCCTCTTCAAAATTTGACGTTCTTGGCGTAACGCCTTTCGAGGATTGCAAAGAAAACACATCTCCTGATCCAATTTCACCTTCAAAACTGTTTGTATACCCATGTTTAGGACTTGCAGCTTTACTATTAAACATGGCATAGAAATCTGTTTGATTAAAACTCGAAGCCCTTGGAGTAGGCTCACGTGAAGATTGAACCGAATAAATCTCCACACCAGTAAGATTTGAAACTCTTGGTGTCATTCCTGTTGAATGCAGCCCTTTGTTGTATGAAGATATCATTGATGCAGACGTCGACCGCTTCACCACCACGTGCAGCTTCCCGTCATCACCTATCTCCGCCTCGGCCTGCAGCGGCTCGCGGCCGTTAAGTGACACAACATCAGATTCAACACGAAAGGAACTGATAGATCCAGCAGTCTCTGGGAACTGATCAGTAATCAGCAATTTTGCACCTCTATACTCAAACATGAACAGCATAAGTGTATACCAAATCACACTTTGCATAACAACAATTTGAACCATTAAATTGCCTGAGAAATCTCCATACATGGCCCTTAACAGAGGGATTCCCATTACAAGAGTATTGGGGAGAGTAGACAGAGAAAATAGAGTGATCATCCACTCCAAGCTCCCATTTTTGCTGAAACAATGCCACAGAAAAAGGGCTGCAAGAATCACAACTTTTTGCAGTGAATCTGCAGCAATGAAGTGATAATTCATAGCATAAATATCATTTGTGGAGATGAAATGAAAACCCAGTAATGGAACAGCAAAAACTGCCACAAATCGATTGATCCCTGAGCATTGATCAGGTGTAAATATTTTCCACCATTTAACTGAGCCGTAAGCCAAGATCATAGCCACATATAATGGTACTATTGCTGCAAGAACATCATAGATATCTTTTCCTGTAATCATGGTGAATAACTACAGCAAAACCGTGCAAGTTCAAAATGCAAATATAGAGAGAGAAAGAGATAAATATATATGGAGAGAGGTGGACTTTTAGAGTTTGTAGTTGATGAGATTGATGAGGGAACAAGTTTCAAGAGAGACTAAACAAAGGGAAGTAAAGAAGAAGCAGTTCCTGATCGCATGGAAGTGAGACGAAAAAGGTTACATATGGCTTCGTCTTCATTCAACTTATTACAGCTACAAAAATGGAACGTTCACACAAGAAAAAAGACATTTTGTATGCATGTTGTCCCCCACAAGAAAGACATATACACGCAGCACAAACAAGAGAGAGAGAGAGAGAGAGAGAGAGAG